AGCCATGGTTTTCCTAGTAGTGATGTATGGAAGTGAGAGCTGGACCATAAAGAAGGCTGATCGCCGAAGAATTGATGCTTTTGAATTATGGTGCTGGAGGAGACTCTTGAGAGTCCCATGGACTGCAAGAAGATCAAACGTATCCATTCTTAAGGAAATCAGCCCTGAGTGCTCACTGGAAGGACAGATTGTGAAGCTGAGGCTCCAAGACTTTGGCCATCTCATGAGAAGAGAAGACTCCCTGGAAAAGACCCTGATGTTGGGAAAGATTGAGGGCACAAGAAGAAGGGGACGACAGAGGACAAGATGGTTGGACAGCATTCTCGAAGCTACAAACATGAGTCTGACCAAACTGCAGGAGGCAGTGGAAGACAGGAGTGCCTGGCGTGCTCTGGTCCAGGGGGTCACGAAGAGTCGGACATGACTAAACAACTAAACAACAACACCTCTGTGTGAGACTCTGTTTATACACACTGAAGCACAGAAGCTGATTTCTCTGAACGATGCCAGACTCTGCTATTGCTCAGAGCTTTGGAATGCAGACTGCGATGCAGAGGCCTGGCGCAGCTTTGGAAGCGGGCCGGATGCCAGGCTTATCTGGGCAAGAAATCACTCAACAGTTGTGCCATCCAGTCAAAGCCGTTTCCAGAGGTGTGGCTGCTGACAGCTTCTAGGAGCTTCTAGGAGCTACAGGTGAGAGCATGTGTGTTCCCCACCAAAGGTACTACCCCTCCCCTCACACCTCATACACCTTAAGGGTATAGATGCAATTATTTGGGACTATGGGGCGGTGATACAGAGACTGAAATGGAGTGAAGGAAGACTATCAGGGCCTGATCAAGATGTCTTTAGGTGACCCCACATTTAAACTCTTCCCTGGTCTCCTTGCTGGCCCTAGTAGGACCAACTTGGCCAGTTAACCCTGGTATTGTTTGATATTTACTGACTGGGGTTTTTTTCTCTCCCCAAAATTACCCCTGAATTTATGCTGCATTTTATGCTGTTTTTAAGTTGCATTTTAATCAATGTTTTATATTTGCTGTTAGCCGCCCTGAGCCTGGTTTTTAAACCGGGAAGGGCAGGGTATAAATAAAAATTTATTATTTTTATTATCTATATTCACCAGCCAGGTCAGAGGAAATGTCAATTTAGGTTCACGGCAGATTGCTGTTCACTCTGGTTGAGCTTTAAGGAGTGGATTTTGATAGGGAAAGCTACAGAGCGCTGGCTGTGCCTGGAAGGAACAGAGGAAAGGTAAGCCCTGACTCTGAAACCTGGCAAGACTGAGGCTCTGTGAGCAGGTGCTTCCTGAAAGTAGGTGGTCCAGATAATTGCTCCATTGCCTTCTTTGCATGGTGTTGTACTACCCTTGAAATAGCAGGTTCATAGTCTAGAGGTGAAGAACTTTGCTTCAGGATGAGAACAGAAATTGTGCAGCAGCGGCGCAGTGGCAGCAGGAGGACCCATTAGCTAAAGTGGTGCTTCAGGTTAAGAACAGACCTCCGGAACGAATTAAGTTCTTAACCCGAGGTACCACTCATCTCCTTGACATCTGAAGGCAGGGCATTCCACAGGGCGGGCGCCACTACCGAGAAGACCCTCTGCCTGTTTCCCTGTAGCTTTACTTCCAACAATGAGGGAACCACCAGAAGGCCCTTGGAGCTGGACCTTGGTGTCCAGGCTGAACAATGTGGGTGGATATGCTCCTTCAGTGATAGGAGTGCTTTTTACCAGCTGGACCAGGACAGCCTGACCACTGTAATGGGGTGGGGGGAGCTGGCTGAAGAAGGGATGGGTGGTTTGGTTTTGTTGTTCTGTGTCCTGTTTAAGACACACCCAATCAGGCTGCAATCCTACACACTTATCAGGAACAAAATTAAAATTTCCTTCTAGTAGCACCTTAGTGACCAACTAAGTTTGTTATTGGTATGAGCTTTCCTGTGCATGCACACTCCTGGTATACCTGAAGAGGTATGCATGCGCACAAAAGCTCATAGCAATAACAAACTTAGTTGGTCTCTCAGGTGCTACTGGAAGGAAGTTTTTTATTTTGTTTTGACTATGGCAGACCAACACGGCTACCTACCTGTATCTAGACTTATCAGGAAGTAAACCTACTTATTGGGGCCTGTCCAACTCTACAATACTATGATTATAAGTAGACTTGTGTAAGAACATGCAGTTACTGTGGGATAAAATCACTCCTGCACACATAACCTTATGCAGTGGTGGCACACGTATGAGGGTGGTGCAGTGGCGTAGTGTAGGTTGTCAGCACCCGGGGCAAGGCAAGTAATTTGCGCCCCCTAACCCGTGGATTTTAGTAGGGGCAGAGAGCTGCGAGTGCGAGCGCGCCCCCCTAGATGTTGCGCCCAGTGCGGCCGGCCCCCCCCTGCACCCCCCACCCTACGCCACTGGGGTGGTGAGGATGGCAATTACAAATTAGAAGCACATCCTTAATGCGGCTGGTCTCCAAATGAGTTTACATGGGATTAAACCTTCACCCTGTTAGGAATTGTGTTTAGCACTGGGGCTCAGTTAAGTAACCGAGTTTCAACCCTAGATGGCAGAATCAACCTAGCCTGTAGAATTCCCTTTAAAACCGTTTACAGGTGGTGAAAGAGCATATAGTAACTAACAGCACCATCCTAAGCATAATCCAAAATGGACAGATTTGCCCATTTCTACTCATGTTGATAGTGGAGCATGGGCTCTCTCTCTCTCTCTCTCTCTCTCTCTCTCTCTCTCTCTCTGTGTGTGTGTGTGTGTGTGTGTAAGATGCAGCACTCCCCCTCTTTGCTGGCCTTGACGTGGACTCCACTGAGGCAGAAGCCCAGCTTCCATCCATGTGGGTAGTAAGCAATCACTGACAGCCCTCCATCATACTTGTCATTATGTGATTGAAAAACAAAATGCAATGTAATGTTTCACCCTGAAGAAACAAAAGAAGACACACATTCTGTTCAAACTTGTCAGCAGGCAGAAGTTGATAGCAACCCATTCTCTCATAGATCCAGCAATTAAACTGGGGATAATTTATTCCACCTGAACAAATCCCCTATGAGAGAATTTTACATTCGTACCTTGGTTCTCGAACGCCTTGGTACTCGTATATTTCGACTCCTGAACGCCGCAAACCCAGAAGTGAGTGTTCTGGTTCGCAAACGTTTTTCAGAAGCCGAACGTCCGATGTGGCTTCCGCTTGACTGCAGGAATCTCCTGTAGCCAATCGGAAGCCGTGCCTTGGTTTCAGGAGTCGAACGGACTACTGGAACAGATTAAGTTCAAGAACCAAGGTACCACTGTAATTAAGTTCTTCAGTAAATGGGGGGGGGGAGGGACAGCAGAGGTTGATGCATGTAAGTCCAAGTGCTATAGCATACAACTAGATAAGAGTTCTGTGCTGAGGAAAGTTCTGAATTGCAGCATTCAAGTTGTCGCTGTTATTTATTACAATCTTTTACCTGCCCTTCACCCTGAGTTCCAAAGTTGGGTTACAACAATTAAAACTCAATATTAAGGTTAAAATGCAATATTACACAAAGTTGTTGTTGTTGTTGTTATTCACCCCACCCATCAGGCTGGGTTTCCCCAGAAAAACAACTTTACGTTATAAAAATAAGGTGCGTTCTAAAAATATACGCATCTCACGTGTCAAAAACCAGGGTAAAGAGGTGGGAGGGAGTTCTACAACTTAGGGGCCGCTACAAATAATGCCTTTCCTGGGCTGCCACCACCCCAAGCTTCTGAGGGCGGTGGAACAACCCATTTTTGTGGTTAGTAAACCCAGTTTTGTACTTTGTATACACCAGGTGGCAGCTTGCCTTCTTCAATATTCATCGAGTAAATTATTTGCTCCTTCTTGCTACTCCTGCTATTTTCAAAAAGGCTATTTCCAGAAGGAAATAGAAAATTGTGAAGAAGATTTTATGTCTAGGCTAGTACAGGACACCTGTGGTGACCTCATTACGGCCAGCTTGATCAGTTTTTTAGTTTCTTATCTGATCCATAGGAGCAGGTCAGGTCATCCGTAACATCAACAGGTTTTCCATCAACAGGAAATGAACAAGTTTAAAACCACAGTGGCTATGAGTTGTATAGGGACATAAATGATTAGAACTGGTGATGTAGCTCTAATTGCACACCAGGCTGCTAGGTGGCCACCATAGAGATGAGTTCTGGAGATCTTCCAGAGAAGAACATCCGCTTACTCAGGGGTGGGTTAGCAGAGACAAAAGCAGAGTTAAGTTTCAGGAATGGTGTTGGCCTGATGTGGGCAAAAGGAAAACCCCTCTGGGTCTGTTTGCAGCTACAAGCAAGGGAAGGGGAAGTCCCTGGTGGGCAGTGATATAAGCTAAAGGAAAATAGTTGCATTTTGCAAGCAGTTTGGCAAGCAGGTGGGGGGGGGGCAAAGCTACCAATGGGTGCTACCAATTTGGGATCCAACATGACAGCCAATAGGAAAGCAGGATATTGGCTGCTGCACCTATGAGAGAAGCAAAAGATCCTCTTGGAGTGTGTAATGCTGGGAACCTATCCACCGTTGGCTCAGGTTGTACATACATGAAAATAAACCATCTATCATAAAGACACCACAGTTTCTATTGTGTCTCGTTGTCCCAAAAGGGAACACAGACTCTGATAAGTGTGCCTGTAACCCTCGGAATCTTGTAGCGCTCACAGAGATTGGGGTGGCAGGTAACAGCTCATCCTTTATCAAATAATACACTCACAGCTCAGAACACAGATCTGACCAAATAGTTTATTCAGCTAACCCCTTGCCGTCTCTAAAACACACAGGAGAACTGCAAGAAATCGGTCCCAGATACTTGCGCACAAGCAATGAATGAGGAACAATGAATATTTGCTAGGCTGTTGGTAATTCTTTTATCAACCAGTGGCATCAGAGATTGGAGAAGCACAACTGAGCAAGCCAAGAAAGAATGTGAGGATGGCGGGAAGTGATTAAAGGAGGAGATTGCAGTAGTTGATCAGCCCCCCTAATTGTTTATGTGGCTGCAGCGGGGAACAGCGCAGAGTTTGTAGGGGTGAGGACGGACCGTCAGCCCTATTATAGGCTTCCTATGGACTCCTCTCACTCCTTTTGGCAGCTGGAACCTGAATGCTCTCAGCAGGCTGGTGAAAAAGATGAAGAGCTCAATCTTTGCCAGTTGCTCCCCTGGACACACCCGAGCACCTGCAGGAAAATAAAGAAAGAGGAAAGCAGGAACTGAATTATCTGCTATTCCACCTATACTCCAGGGGCACCAATTTGCTTTGACTCTGAGAAAAGAATCTGGGTCAAGGCCTCATTCAGTCTATGAAAGCATCCTGCAGCAACTCCTCTTTCTACGATTCCCGAGCCCCCCATGCCTCCCTTTCAACTTTGGGGTGTCGGGATGTCACTGAGAAAGTGGGCTTTATTCCAGGGGCTGCCAATACTAGGCTCAGCATGAGATCAGGACTGGTCACTTCTTTTATTTCAGTAATGTGTTTATTTAAATCTCCCTTTTAAGTATTGTTATGGGTTTGCGGGAGGCCAGATCTCCCCTAATTCCTGAGTCTAGTAAAAGTTGCTTTAGTTGCTTCCTCAAACGAAATACCTCTAAGCGGCTTACAAAAGACAATCTAAAGTGTTCATTAAAAATACCAGTAAAAGCAAACACGGAAAACAAGGTTCATAAAGAAGGCAATATAAAGAATCAAACCAGTAATTTAAAAAGAATTATACATACTAAAATTACATGTTTAAACTGTATGCTAAAATCTCTATCATTAGCTAGTAGTGCTAATAGTAGTATTTAATAATTACCATTGTTTTTACGAATGATACTAGTTATTACTAATAATAATACCGTATTTTTCGCCCTATACGAAGAACTTTTTCCCCTCTAAAAATGAAGGGGAAATGTGTGTGCATCCTATGGGGCGAATGCAGGCTTCGCTGAAGCCTGGAGAGCGAGTGGGGTCGGTGCGCACCGACCCCTCTCGCTCTCCAGGCTTCACGCAGCTCTCCGCAAGCCGCGGGAGCCGACACTGGGCTCCGCGGCTTGCGGAGAGTTGCCTGCATGCTGAAGCCTGCGCGCGCTGAGCTCAGCGCGTCCAGGCTTCGCGCACCTCTCAGCAAGCGGCGGGAGCTGGCGCTGGGCTCCCACGGCTTGCAGAGAGCTTCCTGTTTGGGGGCTGGGGTTGGGGGAAGGTCGGGCTTCCCCCGCCCCAGCCCCGCGCCTGGGGGGGAAATAATTTTTTTCCCATTTATTTCCCCCCAAAAAAACTAGGTGCGCCTTATGGGGCAGTGCATCCTATAGGGCGAAAAATACGGTACTTATTATAATTATTTTTATTGGGTTGTATCCAATGCTAGTCTTTAGGGCGCATGTGCGCTTCTGTTCTGCCATGATGCACCAAGGAAAATGGTGGGAGAGAACTGTATGTTGGAATAGCACCCCAAATTTTGTGGCTCTATTTTCCGTGCTAACAGAGCTGAGAACAAGTTGCTTTCCGGAAACAAATTGAAACGAGCGCTAAACTTCCACTAGATTCCACTACATCTCCAGAAGTGGCATTTATGTTGTGTGGAAGATCACACAGAATGTGAAAATCATCTGATAAGAAAACATCAAGAAAATGGAATAAAGTGTTGTCTGAATGCGACAGCTGGGGCTTCTTGCACATACCTGCACCAAATGGCAGAAACGCTTCTCTGTCCACAAACTGCCCGTCCTCATCCAAAAAATGATTTGGGTTGAACTTTTTAGGTGTTGCCCATTCCTTAGGATCAAGAAGAACAGAGCGGAGATCCGGAGCAATCACAGCCCCCTGCAGGGAAGGAAGACTTGTCTCAGGAGTCATCTAAACAGAACATTGCACTTTTGCCCTTCAGTTCCCCCATTTTCCACCCGCATCGCTCAGTGAGGTCCACCTCCGAGGGCCTTCTGGCAGTTCCCTCACTGCAAGAAGTGAGGTTACAGGGAACCAGGCAGAGGGCCTTCTCGGTAGTGGCAGCTGTCCTGTGGCACACGCTCCCACCAGATGTCAAGCAAATAAACAACTATCTGACTTTTAGATGACATCTGAAGACAACCCTGTTTAGGGAAGTTTTTAATGTTAGATGTTTTATTCTGTTTTTAATCTGTTGGGAGCCACCCAGAGTGGCTGGGGAAATCCAGCCAGATGGGCGGGGTACAAACATCATCATTATTATTATTATTATTATTATTATTATTATTATTATTATTATTTCCACTAATCTTTACATACAAGCTTCATTCTGCTGGAACTGAAGAATTGCATTTTCTTTCTTTAAAAATTATGAATTTTCAGATTTGCATTTCATGAATTTAAAAGTCTTGAGTGCTGATGGAAGGATGCAAATTGTGAAGAAGCTCCGCAGAAGCGATCCTGTGCGTTTCTGGGGCACTCCCTCCAATGTGCCTGTGCAGATGCTATCTCCCCTGTCATCTCATCCCTCTTCCTCCCAGGAAGCAGGAGCAACTCTGCTGCTGGGAGGCTAGGTGTGCAGCTGCACCTCTGCTCACCAACCACTCCTGCTGCGGATTACAACTCCCAACAGCCCCTGCCAACATAGATCAATGATGGGGGTCACGGATAATGTGAGTTGTGGTCCACATCTGGAGGACACAGCGCAAGATGTCCCTGCAGGAACTCCCCTCCTTTTTTTGGAAATGGAAGGAGCTATAGTTACTTTCTTCAGAATTTGCACTACAAGGCAACCTGCCTCTCTTGTGATCTTGTGACCTTCCCTCTGAGCTATAGAAATGAAGCTGTTACAGTCATCTATACCTTTGGAATGTGAAAACCGTGCAAGTTCACATCCTTCACGGTTTGCCTTGGAACCCCAAATAATAAGATATATCTTGAACGCTGGATCTCGTGAATCACAGCATTGGTGTAGGGCAGCTTCTTCCGATCTTGATAGCGGATTGAGTGAGATGAACCGAAAACATCTTCCATCTCTTGGTAGACTTTCTCTGAGGAAAATGGTGGAGAATTAAGCTTTGTTTCGGATGAAACATCTCAAGTGAAACAAGTTGATCAATCATTAAGGGGTATTTGTTCCACAGGAAAGTATTCCACCTAGACCTGCTGGGGCGGAAAACCTGAATAATGATTTTCAGGAGGGTAGCCTCTTGCAGCAAGATCTGCCGGGATCTTCCAGAGATCTGGAGCATGGTGCTGTCAGTATGCTGGTGACACACAGCTCTGTCTCTCCATTCCATCTGAATCAAGAGAAGTTTTGAAGGTGTTTGCCTGGAAGTAGTGATGGGCTGGATGGGGGCCAACCTGAGAGGAATTCAGGTCCAAGATCAAGAGGTCAAAATGGCCTCTTGCTGCCATTGCACAGTTCCCTCTCACCTTGAATATCTGGATGTGTCGCCATGAGGAGCAGTGCCCATTGCAGAGAGGTAGCAGTTGTCTCTGTTCCAGCAATAAAGAGGTCAAAAATACACTGAGCCAGGTTGTCCTCATTGTAGGTAGAGTAGGGGTCATCCTTGTTCTGTTGTAAGCAATAGCGGAGGTTAGATTCAGTTCACAGTGACTCACAGGCCCCAGTCGGCTAAGCTAAGACCAGTGGATCTTACACCAGTATAAGCCCTGGAAAATGGGCCTTCCATATAATATACAAGTATTAATAAAAATTGCAGGCAGCAAAGTGCCTCTTTAAATGAGGGGGTGCCTTTCCTGAGATTATGCATGCTGTGACACAGATGTGCTAAATCAGAAAAGTATACTTTTTGCTTCAAAACTATTGTTTTTTGCATTTATGTACGTAAATTTTATTGATTAATCAAGATAAGTGCATACAGTTAATCAACTAAGACTTACCTCCATCAGTTTCCAGATGACCTGCTCCTTGAGCATTCATCCTGATTTGTTTGTGAGGAGGTTAGATGCTGTTGCATCGAAGCAATTGTTACCCCGCACTTCCAAGTGCAATTCCCTGTCACTTTCCGTATCTTGGGGGGGGGAGTAGATCATTGTTCAAAACCTCCAACAATCCTCTATAATTGTGCACCCTAAATTTGCTTGTTTGCGATTGAATCCCATCCAAAAAAAACCAACAATGACAGTCTGGAAGGAAAAACCCATTCTTATTGTGAGAATCTAGTCCAACCCCCTTCAATGCAGGAATCTCAACGAGATCATGCATGGCAGGTGGCCTTCCTGTCTCTGCACATAGGTAAGCTATGGCACTCCCTCCCATGAGAGAGAGCAATTGCTACTAACCTAGATGGCTTTAAAAGAGCACTATGAACAGCTGCTAAGGGACATGGGTGGCGCTGTAGGTTAAACCACAGAGCCTAGGACTTGCCAATCAGAAGGTCGGCGGTTCGAATCCCCGTGACGGGGTGAGTTCCTGTTGCTCAGTCCCTGCTTCTGCCAACCTAGCAGCTCGAAAGCACTCAAAGGGCAAGTAGATAAATAGGTACCGCTCCGGCGGGAAGGTAAACGGCGTTTCTGTGCGCTGCTCTGGTTCACCAGAAGCAGCTTAGTCATGCTGGCCACATGACCTGGAAGCTGTATGCCGGCTCCCTCGGCCAATAAAGCGAGATGAGCGCTGCAACTCCAGAGTCGGTCATGACTGGACCTAACGGTCAGGGGTCCCTTTACCTTTTTATGAATAGCTGCTAGCCAGGATGTCTATGCTGTGCCTCCATGGTCGGAGGCAGCAACGCTTCTGAATCCTAGTTGCTGGAAATCGCAGGAGGGGAGAGTTTCTCTTGTGCTTGAATCCTGCTTGCTAGTTTCCCACAGGCATCCTGTTGGCCACTGTGAAAGCAGGATGTTGGACTAGAGAAGCCATTGGCCTGATCCAGCAGCTCTTATTATGTTCCTATACCAGGCTTCCTCAACCTCAGCCCTCCAGGTGTTTTTGGCCTACAACTCCCATGATCCCTAGCTAGCAGGAATTGTAGGTCAGGGATGATGATGATGATGATGATGATGATGATTGTTATTAATACCTCGCCCTCCCCAGCCAGAGCCAGGCTCAGGGCGGATAACACCAGTAGAATTACAGTAAAATCATAATAGGGGGAAAAAAACAATTTAAAATACAGGTTAAAATGCAATTTAAAATGCAGCCTCATTTTAAAAGGATCCCATAGATCAAAACCGTAAGGGGAGGGAAACATAAGGGTCAGACTGAGTCCAAACCAAAGGCCAGGCGGAACAGCTCTGTCTTGCAGGCCCTGCGGAAAGATGTCAAGTCCCACAGGGCCCTAGTCTCTTGTGACAGAGCGTTCCACCAAGTCAGGGCCAGTACTGAAAAGACCCTGGCCCTAGTTGAGACCAACCTAACCACCTTGCAACTTGGGACCTCCAAAATGTTCTCATTTGTGGACCTTAAGGTCCTCTGCGGGGCACACCAGGAGAGGCGGTCCCATAGGTACGTGGGTCCTCAGCCGCTTAGGGCTTTAAAGGTCAAAACCAGCTCCTTAAACCTGACCCTGTACTCCACCGGGAGTCAGTGCTGTTGGTAAAGCACCGGGTGAATGTGACCCCGCGGCAAGGACCCCGTAAGGAGCCTCCCCGCGGCATTCTGCTCCCGCTGGAGTTTCAGGGTCAGCTTCAAGGGAAGCCCCGTGCAGAGCAAGTTACAATAATCAAGCCTGGAGTGACCGTCGCATGGATCACTGTGGCCAGATCAGGACGAGAAAGGTAAGGTAAGGTAAGGATGATGGGAATTGTAGTCTCAAAACATCTGGAGGGTCGAGGTTGAGGAAGCCTGTCCTAGACTGTCAAGGATATGAAAAGATCTACTTTCCCCAACCATTTCACTGCACGGCGGCTGACTAATAAGGGCAGGGGGGATTCCCAGCGGTCCCGCAGATGTTACTGTTCGATCGTAACGGAGAATGCAACGATTCCTTGAAGAAGAAGCATTCACCCACAAAGCAGTTCCTTACCCTCTCCATCTGAGATAGATAGAAATCAATGAAGTCTATTGGTTCATGCACAGTCTGGTCTTCCTTGTGCTTTGCTATCTCGTTCTTCGCAAATGAAAAGACCATCTCCATGGAGGACAATGCGGTCTTGTGAGGCCCTGGGAGAAATTTCATGACAGACGGGAGAATTTCGTAGAGCTACAAGGAAAGAAAAGGCACATCCTATCAGCAACACAACCCACAAGTCAACTCCAACCTCATGCTTTGGCTTGTTCTTTAGGGCTAGAAATTTCACCCTGAGTGTCTGAAGGGTGAGATGGAGGAGAAATTCAGTATTGTTCACATTTATAAGTGAACTTTCTGGCCTGAACTTTCTGGAACAATACAGGAACAGGAACAGAGCCACACTTTGAAATCTGCACTCCTCTGATCTTTTATAGTGCAGCTCTCCAGGCAAGCAATGTGTAAAAATGCATATGCTAGGGTAAAGGGCACATAAGAAGTGTATATATTAGTGAAAACAGTGTAAAATTTGCTTTGCAAAGATGTATTGGAGCATAAAGAAGAACCTGCTGTATCTGGGATGGTGCATATGGTACAGCATGACATGCTTAATCTCAGGGTCATGGGATTCAAGCCCCTCATTGGGCAAAAGATTCCTGCATTTCAGGGGGTTGGACTAGATGATCCCCATGATCCCTTCCAGCTCTACAGTTCTATGATTCCATGATCAGGTCGCATCTAGCCCAGCATCCTGTTCTCACAGTGGCCAACTAATTTGAGCACAAGAGCTCCTGTGGCTTCTAGCAACTGGTCTTCAGAAGTATTTGATGCCTCTGACCATGTCTGTGTGGTGAGGCTTCCTTATCAATATGTGCCACTTCCTTCCAAAATGTCCCTTCGTGGAATCTATTTTATTATGGCATTTGCAAGAGTGTACTGAACCTTTATTTGTTTTATTCTGACTGCAATAATGTGCTCCACACAGTTCTTGTCCTTTGCTCCCATTTTGTTTTTCTTGTTTGCAGGTTGCTGCTTTTGAAAACTCAACAAACACATATTTTTGAGAGAGAGAGAGAGAGAGAGAGAGAGAGAGAGAGAGAGAGAGTAAGTATACCATGGGTAGGCAAACTAAGGTCAGGGGGCCGGATCCAGCCCAATTGCCTTCTAAATCCGGCACACGAACGGTCCAGGAATCAGCGTGTTTTTACATGAGTAGAATGTGTGCTTTTATTTAAAATGCATCTCTGCATTATTTGTGGGGCCTGCCTGGTGTTTTTACATGAGGAGAATGTGTCATTTTATTTAAAATGCATCTCTGGGTTATTTGTGGTGCATAGGAATTCATTCATTTTCCCAAAAAAATATAGTCCGGCCCGCCACAAGGTCTGACGGACAGTGGACTGGCCCCCTGCTGAAAAAGTTTGCTGACCCCTGGTGTATACTGACATATCCCTTGCAGTAGGGGTAACCCATGTGGTGTTGCCCAGATGATTTAGACTACAGCTCCCATCATTCCTGATCATTGGCCATGCTGCCTGGGGCCGATGGGAGTGGTAGTCCACAGCATCTGGAGTTGACTTTGCTGGCTATCCCAGTTTAAATTGATGTCTACTGTAGGCAACCACAGTTCATGGGCCTCCCATCTCATGCTCTCCTCCACCCGCCCACCACCAAGCCTAAGCTTCAACCTACTCACGCCATGAAAGAAGCTGCCTCCAAACTGTAAGCTAATCCGAATGGCTTCCATCAGCCTCAGGAATTCTTTATCTTCAACAGAAAATCGGTATCCAAAGGACACGGCACATATCACGTTGCAGACTGAATTGATGATGTGTAAGGATGGGTCAAATGGCTGCCCTGCAGATGAAATCCTAATGAGATCCAATGCTCATATATACCCGTATTTTTCACTCTATAATATGCACCCGACCATAACACGCATGTAGTTTTTAGAGGAGGAAAATCCGTAGGCATGCCACCCGTAGGCATTCCCTCCATAGCACGCACAGACATTTCCCCTTACTTTCTAGGAGGAAAAAAGTGAGTGTTATGGTGCAAAAAATACTATATATATATATATATACACACACACACACACACACACACACACACACACACACATATCTACATATACACACACATACATACACACATACACAAACACACTTATTATTCTTTTGCTATGCAAAAGGAGAAATTGTGATTGGTTAACAGCTTTTCAAAATCAGTCTTTCTTGCTCCTTATCTCCATTGTTATTCCAATATATGTTCTTGTTTGTTTGTTTGTTTGTTTGTTTGTTTGTTTGTTTCCAAATTGGAATCAATTAGGCATCCATTTTACAGAAGAATGGGACAGAAGAATGAGGAAATAACTGGGCTTAGTGAGCTGGTAGGGTCTGTGGCACAGAGAAGTCCAGAATCAGAGGCAGAAGCTGAAGCAGGAGGGTGGGAAGAAAGAGGCCAAGAGACAGAGATGAGTCAGGCTGGTGAAGAGTCACTGGTGTCTGCCCCTTCCCCCTGCTCTCCCAGAACCAGAAGAGGCATGAAAAGGGCAGAGGAGAGATTGGCTGCATGTAGGCATAGTCTCCAATTGCTTGGGGGAAAACCCTGGAGAGGAGGGGACTTAGGCAGCAGTGGGAACGCAGGGACCTTCAGTCTCAGGAACTGCTCCATGCAGACAAGATCTGCCGGGGATGTGTGGCTGTGCTCATTAAACCTGACACTCCGTCAAGTCCATGCAGATCATGTTTTTGCTAATAAAGAGCTAACTCCAAATTGAACTGTGTGATTTACTGCCAGTTCACTCCACACACACACACTCCAGTGCATTTCTTGCTTTCTCAACAATTTGCTCTTCAGGATCAGGGAACTCTCCTTAATGGTGAGTGATGGAGCACGGCCAGGTTGCAGCAGCAGGGAGAATCTGCAGAATCTGGGAATGAGAGCACCAAGCTCAAGTACAAGCGCCTTTCTGCTCATACAAGTCACTCCTGGATCCAGCCGAAAGTTCATTGTATGCATCACTCTAATTAGTTGCTGTCAACTGCAAATTATTGCCAGAGCCTGAGAATATATTGTATAGTGACCCAAGCCCAACCCTGTTCATTAATTTCAACTTCCTTTCATTAGAAACTAAATTAACACTCAATTAAACATTTTGAATTTACTGTGCTAATTGCAGCCTTCCCTGGCCATTGTCATTATAAACCATTAAGAAAGTTCCTTAGTTTAAAAAACAGTTCAACACACTTTGCCTATTTAATAAAATCAGGGTGAGACAATTGCACAATTCACAGACAATGTAATGGTCTCAAACAACAGCAAGTCCTGTCACCTCTGCAATCCATCATCTCCCTTTTTTTTTTTTTTTTACACCAGCAGGATGCAAACTAGGCACTGACTCTGTGCACTGCGGCTGCTAAATATGTGTATTCCCAAGCAATCCCTACCCAGTTTACAGGATGCCAGTGGACTCTTCTCTCTCAGCTTCCAAAACTGAACCACTCTTCTGCTGTGAGTCCCAGGAAGTTGCCCCAACCCGCAGATTGTCTCAGGCAGAGGTGGATAACAAACCAGCCTGAGTTAGCTTCATTTTCTTCTATCACATACCCTTTGCACGTGCAAAGATCTCCACAAGCTCAATGGCCTCCTCTTCTATTTGGTGCTCCATGCCTTTCTTCCCCAGCCCCAGCTTCCGCATAGTAACCACACTGAACCGTCTCTGCTGCTTCCAGGTGTGACCGTTTGAAAGTACAATACCTAAAACCATCACAGACCAGTGAGAAATTATTGCTTACAAAATTCATATAAAAGCTATTACATCAGCAGCCTAGAAGACACCAGTGTAGTCCATGCCTAGGCATTAAAGAACCCAAGGACAGGAAGACTGGTGCAGAATCAATTTTTTCATTGTGGAGTGTTATATCTCTGATGTGGGACACCAGTGAATGTTTCAGAAAATGCATATGAGAAACAAGACCTTCATCATCACTCCCTCTATTACGAAACTCAAGCACTGAGTACCAACAGGATTGGAGCCAAAATGAGGCCAACAGCAGGGAGGTATCAGCATGCCCAGTGGGGTCCTAAGCTTGGCAGAATACCTGGGGCCATCAAGAATCAGAGAAAATTAGCACATGCGAAAACTACTGTTAAAAGAATTCTTTACATTAGTTTTACTGGTTACAATGCTAGTACTTCTAGCTTCTTCTTTTATTACACTGCAGTACCAGTTCCAATATGGAACTGCGGCTCTTTAATTGATATGTACAGACTGGGAGTGAGTCACTGCCCCAAAACTTTGCAGGTACAAACAACACTGAAAGAAGAGCTTCTTTGTGGCCACTCCAAAAGCATCAAGAGCGCAAACCATCATTGAATGCACAAAGAAAGGATGTTTAGAGGGGCCCAAGCTGCTCCCTTTCCCATCAGTGCATGTCCTGTTACTTCCTAATGAAATCCTGTAACTTTCCATTCCGCAAATGTCCAGCGGAGGGTTGTCCAGCTTTGATTGGATAATGCAGCAACACTGGGAAAGCAGAACAACTAATAAAGCGGTGTGGATTGTCCAGTATAAATCCACCACTACTCTTGCATCAATGACATGTTGCAGAAGAAGACGCCCATGGGGAAAAGGTACATCCCATATGGAAGGGTCCTTTGTTTCCTTCACTGGAGAAAAGGCTAAGAGAAAACCTCCTACTCAAACCAAGAACTTACCCCTATTTTTTGCAGAACTTTTAAGGAAAGGAGTTTCTGGGCGGTCAGCAAAATCATCCGAATGGTTGATTAGGCCTTCCTTAACTGCTTTGTAGCCGGACAGTATGACTGCAGGTATAGGCCCAATCCATACCGTGCAAATGTTCCCATATTGCTTTGCCAACTGCCATTCAGATAAAAAAAGAGAGAGAAGAGATTAGTTATATTCAGGATATTTTGGAAGCGTCAAGTACTGGCTCGTAGGGGCATTTTGATTTGAATCATCTCTCAGGAAACATTGGAGCCGTAAGGTGTGTGAGAGAGATGAATGCTGCAGCCCAGGGAAGTCTTAGAACTTATAATGTAAGGCCACCCAGCTGGATGTTACTGGGAATGGACAGAACATGATCTACTATGCCGGCTGCAGGTTGTGTTTCTTTTGACTCTTTTGTGGTTTCAGTTTTGCAGTGTAAGCCGTCTGGGCTGGGCAAGTGTCACTCGCAATTCAGGGCTCTAGCCAGTCAGCCAGGACCACTATCAGGGTGCTTCATAACATTCCACCTCCTAACTGGTCTTCCACCTCCTCCCACCAGCAGGCTGTGTCCCAAAAAAACTTCTCAGCCCTCAATGTGACATTTTGGGGTGTGTCCTCCACACAGCCTAATGCATTTTCTAAAGGGTTTTTTGGGCACTTCTGCAAACCCAAGGATTTCCTTGAGCCTGCAGAACCACTGTCCGGTTCATGGGTGGTGCCATTTTTGGATATATAAGAAGCCATACTTGGGGGGGGGGATGTGCTGCAGTGTTAGCTGAAGCTTTTGAAGCAATAATAATAATAATAATAATAATAATAATAATAATAATAATAATTTATTATTTATACCCCGCCCATCTGGCTGAGTTTCCCCAGCCACTCTGGGCAGCTTCCAACCGAATATTAAAAACAATACAGCATCAGACATTAAAAACTTCCCTAAACAGGGCCGCCTTCAGTTGTCTTCTGAAAAGTAAAATAGTTGTTTATTGCCTTGACATCTGCCGGGAGTGCGTTCCACAGGGTGGGTGCCACTACCGAGAAGGCCCTCTGCCTGGTTCCCTGTAACCTCACTTCTCACAGTGAGGGAACCGCCAGAAGGCCCTTGGTGCTGGACCTCAGTGTCCAGGCTGGATGATGGGGGTGGAGACGCTCCTTCAGGGATACAGGGCTGTTTAGGGCTTTAAAGGTCAGCACCAACACTTTGAAATGCGCTTGGAAACGTACTGGGAGCCAATGAAGATCTTTCAGGACCGGTGTTATATGGTGTCGGCGGCCATTGCCAGTCACCAGTCTAACAGCAGTCTCACGTAAAGCACATTATGGTTGTCACTCCTTGAGGACAGAACACTATAGATCTCTGCCTTGAGACAGTAGCTTTCTAAGAAGGTGACATATCAAATTAAGATGATAAAAGGTATTTCTGCAGTTAGCACATGGCCTTAAATAACGTTTTTGTACCTGCTCAGACAGGCTTCCCTTCAACCACAAGAATCTCACCTACTCCCAAAGAGTCAGGTCTCTCAAAGGCAAGAGGTTGGTATTTGTTCCACTGAGGTCTCTTTATTTGTTTCCACATCCATCGATGGGTAGAATATCACAAACTTTTATATGAGATAATGAATATGGCCATTCACCCAGTTATTTCACAATCGGTTAATTTTTATAAAAAAAGAAAAATAATTTTCATTGGCAATGTGACCAAGCAGAAGAGAATTCTTGACTAATTGGCTGGAATTACTGGAAAAAACCCTGAAAAACTAATTGGATTGAGAACTGCGTAACTATATTTCTGATAGGATACACACTAACCTTTAATATGATCAGTAGTTTTGTTGGAGAGAATACCAAAAATATATTGTTTCAAGGATTTCTTCTGCACATAAATTCTTAAAAGGCCCATAGATCAAGCGTTCCCAGATATAATCCATGACCACCACAAGCTGCATTAATATGCTCCACAGCATGTCTGTGGATTTGAATATTCATTTTGATTTCTTATTGTATTTGTATTCCTTCTTTTATTTCTTACACTGTGCATTTTTTTGCATTACAATTTTAATCTTATGGAATTACATTAAAATTCAATATGTAAGAAATGAAAGAAGCAATAGCAACAAAAACAATTTAAACAATGCAGCACCTAACACATCACATTGCAATTGCCACAGCAGGCAGAAAAATCTGCCAAGACGCTCAAGCCGTAGATTTCACAGGTGAATCGTTATCCACAGTTCTCAAATAAAGGAAATACCGGTAATTTGCAATGCCTTTTCGCTCTTCCTGTTTTTCAGCTGAAGAAGTATTTTGAAAGAAGTACCTTCATGAAAGTATCCAGGGAGAGCATGACCCCAAACCGCCACATGCCTCCGACGATGGGAAGTCGAAGGGGTCCAGGAGGGTAGCGCTTGCGGGACCAGGGCAGTTTCATCAAGTGCAGAATCTTACGCGGAACCAGAGTAATCAGAGATTCCGATGCTCGCCCCATGGTCCGGTCTTCCTTTATTCCAGGCAGAGCCAGGTGAGAGGAATCCCCTTTTTCTGAGGGCATTTTGCGTTCATCAGAGACATTGCCACCTCTCTCATTTTCCCGGCTAGCACCTATTTATGTACTCCACTTTTGAAAGACAAACTGGACTCATCTGACTCTCTAACTAACTAGCATTTATTATAATTATCTATTTATAGCACACCCTCATGACTGTAACTGTTATCAAGATGGCTAATTGTTTTATCCCCATTATATTGGGTTTCCATTGCAGTGAATCAAATGTTTCCGTCCTGTGACAGCCTTTGGGTCTTGGTTTTGTTTTCTAGTGATTCTTGCTAGCCTCCTTTCCTCTACTGTTCTGTTACGGATTCTGTTACGTCAATAGTTATTTTTATAGTATTTGTTCATTTTATACGAATTTTGTTTTTGCACCTCTTCTTGTAAACAGAAAACTGAGATATCAGGGTTGTATTTAACTAACTCTTAAGTGGGGTGAGCTGCTTCTCCCATATTAAACCTAGGTCTTGCATTTTTTGTTATTATTATTGTTGTTGTTTCTGCAACATTTATTAGATTAACTTCAATATAAAGAACCAAAACAATTCCTGGGGTTTTTCTCCTCCTGTCTACTTCCCCGTCTCCAATAGTTCTATAGCTCAGGCAAGTTTATCCCAGCATAAACATGCTGTCACAAAGATGAGCAAATTATCCATTTCATTTTGTCATTTTTCCATTCTTCAGTTCAGTCCCCCAGATTTCTGCCTCTGTTCTTTCTTGAAAAAAATTAAATCCTCATGAAAATTCACCAGCACTTTCCTGCAAATTTCTCCCAATATACCACACCTTTGTAATTTTGCATGCAATTTTGCACACGCTGTTAGTTAGTTAGTTACTTTGACTAACATATGCATGCTTATGCATGCATCCCCCTAGCATATGCATCTTTCGGAAACATCCTCATCCCTTATCGCAACATATATATCGTTTGACATGTATCCAGTTTTGCCATTTGATTAACCAAGGAAAGGGACCCTATGAATTTCCTGTTTTGGAAGTGCCTCGGGTCACATGCAGCATTTGCTAATTTTGGAATTGCTAGTATATATCCAAACACTGAGTTACGACTCAAGTATTTGCCTGAGTTTTCTTCCAACTCTGAGCCACCTACAGTTTAGCTGCAAGTAACAGACTAACGATATTATCTTTATAGCTAAACTGTCCTGTTTCCATCCACTGTTGAGCAATACGAAACAGGGGTTCAGCAGCATGTCATGATCCTTTAAGTGCTGTGCTGTTATTTCATTTTGCAGGTTACCTTCCTATTTTTGCATGCTTCCTATTTCCTTCCTATTTCCAAAACTTTTTAATGTTTTCATTTCAATGTTTTTATTTTATTTTAATGTTTTCATTTTGCAGGCTACCTTCCTATTTCCAAAACTTTTTAATGGGGCCATAAGAGCCCTGCTGGCAGGACCATACCTAGGGGTTGGCCAGGAGGGCATTTGGGCGCTCACTCCAACTTGCTTGTCTCATGCACAACTAAACATGGTAGGTACTTAGGAGGTTGAGGCCGCCCTCCCCTTCATAGCTGGCTGATTGATGCTCCAGGACAGCCAATAGTGGAGCAGCAGCCTTTTCAAAGGGCAGAGAGAGAAAGAGCAGGGTCCCACCACTGAGTTTGAGTAATGAGTGTGTTTTGTTTTGTTTTGTTTTGTTTTGTTTTGTTTTGTTTTGTTTTGTTGTTTTGTTTGTAAGATGAAACACGTGGCCAGGCAATTGGGGAAGGGGGCTTTCTTTGTTTTGGTCCACTGCCTTTTATTTTTTTACTTACTTAATTAATTAATTAAGTTATATACCACACTATACGCTATAGAATTGGTTGTGGGTTTTTAAAAAAAGAAATCAGTTTTTTTTCAGCACTTCTTATATCCCTCTATTGCAGACCATCCTTGTTACCCCTTATATCACAAATGCAGGGGGAGGAAGCAGAGACTGGTAGAATCGCTAGGACTTCGTGACTTTCTTCTAGGCAAAGGCTGAAACTGCAAATGGTGACCTGCTCAGGGAAGCCATTCTAGTCTGTTTAAAGAGGCAGGACTGGACTGGCCCAAGAATCCGGGGATTATATCTCTAGGAGAAGACTAGGGGGTCTCCAAACAAACTTGGATTCTTTGGGGGACTCCGTGACTGTTAAAGTGGTATAAGAGTACTTTAAATGATGCTTTAATTAAGATTCCTGCATTGCAGGGGGTTGGACTAGATGACCCCCAGGGTCCCTTCCAACTCTACAATTCTGTGATTCTATGAATGCTATAGATAACAAATGGCTTTTTTAAAAAGGCCTCAAATCTGTGACAAGAAAAGATGTAATCCTAGTTGCTGGATGAACTTGTCTGACTATGATGTGTGTGTGTGTGTGTGTGTGTGTGTGTGTGTGTGTGTGTGAATGAATTAGCATTAGCAGCTATATGGAAAGGGATGTTGGAGGCAAAGCTCTGTTAGGGAGAGAAACAGAAGTTGTTGCTGTCTCCAGCTCTTTCTTTCTTTGGCCGGGTTTCTACATTTACCATCTTTCTGATAGGCAGAAATTCAGCAGGTGGGGAGGATGTGAGTCATTGCAATTAATGTGCATTGCTAGCTTAGTTCCATAAATTTCATTGGGTCTACTCTATGAGCGGGGACGCGTATGGCGCTGTGGGTTAAACCACAGAGCCTAGGACTTGCCGATCAGAAGGTCGGCGGTTTGAATCCCCATCACGGGGTGAGCTCCCGTTGCTCTGTCCCTGCTCCTGCCAACCTAGCAGTTCGAAAGCACATCAAAGTGCAAGTAGATAAATAGGTACCGCTCTGGCGGGAAGGTAAACGGCGTTTCCGTGCGCTGCTCTGGTTTGCCAGAAGCGGCTTAGTCATGCTGGCCACATGACCCGGAAGCTGTACGCCGGCTCCCTCAGCCAATAAAGCGAGATGAGCATCGCAACCCCAGAGTCAGTCACGACTGAACCTAGTGGTCAAGGGTCCCTTTACCTTTACTTTACTCTATGAGTATGACCAGCATTGGAATTGCTTTGGATTGCTTTGAAGTCATTTCATTCTGCACCAGTTAAAGTAATTTTTAGCCCTCCCCCCCCCATTTCACCACCACGCCTGGACTTCTCCCATATTTTGCCCAACCAAAGGTGTCGACACTAGTTGCATCAGATTTCTGGACAGGTTTTTTAGCCTGCTAAGAGGCTTCAAATGTCAAATGGAAATGCGGGCTTATGAGAGGCTTCTTGATTCAACAAAATAATTACAGGGAAAAGCTGAGGGAAAAGAAAAAAGAAGAGATCTTGGCTCAATTAGAAGAGTGTGAAAGGAAATTAATTATAAAATCTAAAGATGAACAGACTAAACAAGTAATGAAAATGCTACAAACACAATTTTCAATATTGGTAAATCAGGAAGTGGAATGGAAAATTAAATACATGAAGCAGAGATTTTTTGAATCGGCTGATAAAGTAGGGAAACTTCTCGCTTGGCAATTAAGAAAAAGACAAAAGCAGAATGTGATAAGTAAAATTAAAGTTGGAGAACATCAAATAGAAGATCAGAGAGAAATAAAGAAGGCCTTACAGGAATCTTATAAAGACTTATATAAGAAAGAGAATAAGTAAGTAAAATAGAAAAATATCAAGAAGATTATAAAGGGAAACAAATAACAGTGGAAGAAAGAGAACAATTAAATAAACCAATAACAACAGAAGAGTTACAAAATGCGATAAAAAAGATGAAAATAGGCAAAGCTCCGGGTCCGGATGGCCTTTCTACTAAATACTACAAAATTCTTGAAGAACAATTAACTCCGGTACTCTATAAGGTCATGAATAATATTTTACAAGGAGGGAATACACCAAACACATGGAAGGAAGCATATATAACTTTAATCCCTAAACAAGATACAGATAGACTAAACATTAAGAATTACAGGCCAATTTCATTGTTAAATAACGACTATAAGATTTTCCCGCAACTCCCGCCGAGCTCCCAAGGCTTGCGGATATCTGCCCGAAGCCCAGGGCGTGCTGTGCAGTGCTCCCTGGGCTTTGGGCTGCAGGCTGCTGTCCGCAAGCCTTCGGAGCACGGCAGGCACTCCTGCCACGCTCTGAAGGCTTGCAGATAGCTTCCTGAAGCGTGGAGAGCGAGAGGGGTCAGTGCGCACTGACCCCTCTCGCTCTCCAGGCTTCAGCGAAAGCCTGCATTCGCTCCATAGGACACACATACATTTCTTCTTCATTTTTGGAGGGGAAAAAGTGCGTCCTATAGGGCGAAAAATATGGTATATTATGAGGCATCTTGTTTGTGCTGGATAAAAGAAGGGATAATTTTAAAAAAACACGGACTTGCTGGATCTAGAAGGATATAATAATAGATACGGATGGCACTCCTATCTGTGGCAAAACAAGGTGAAAATACATAAGGTTTTACCAATCATATTTTCAGGGGCGCCCTATATGATGTATGGGACAAGAACAAAAACCTGTTAGAAAGAACCACACCCTGGTGGCTATCTCCGACAGATATGTTAATAACAAAAAAATTAAATATGGAGGGAAAGAGAATAACTTATGAAGATATATTAGTGAAAACAGAGTATGGGTGGAGAATTAAACCATATGAGGAAATAAAAGATGGGCTTACAAGATGGTTACAATATCATCAGGTTAATGGTTTATTAAAAGAAGGTAAAACACTAAGGACACTAAGGATGAGATGGTCAAAGAAGTTATGATAAAGTGGGCAGTTGATTTTGGCTACAACATCGATTATGACAAATGGGTCAAATTATGGAATGAAGGGGTGAAATTTACAGCATGCTCCACCTTAAGAGAAAATTGAGGGGAAATGATGTACCGGTGATATATTACCCCGGTCAAATTGGCCAAAATGTATAAATTGAACAATAGAGCCTGTTGGAAATGCAAATTAAAAGATGGGGATCTCTACCACATGTGGTGGGAGTGCAAAAAGATGAAAAAGTTTTGGGACTTAATATATAATGAATTGAAAAAACTTTTTAAGTA